AAACATTATAGAAGAAGCTAAAGTTGCCTTTGACCAATCCTTGCCCTGTTCCCAGGGGTCATCTTGACTTTAGTTTGGTCACCTGTTTTTATATTTTTACATTCTCATGTATCCCCTTAAACACACCTTTTTTTCTATGATTTGTTTTACCTGAATGGCATGTCATTGTATACACATCATCTGTTTGCTTTTTTTCACTCAACAGGGTACAGGTTAGTTTGTTTTGATCTAGTTCACTCCTTTTTAGTTACAGAATAGTAGCCCCTCACCTGGCCACAGTGCACTGCTGGTCTGTGTCTCTCTCTGTGGCCCGGGCCCAGTGTTTGAGTCGTGCTGCCAGGGCAGTGTGAGCATGTCCTTGTTTATTCCAGGAATGGGCAAGCCCGTTCCACCTACCACCTTATTTATTCCACAAACCTTTACTCGGCCCCTACTGCATGCTGGGCACTGTGCGAGCCACTGAGACTGAGTCTGCCCACGGTCACGGCTTGGTCTGAGTCTGAGCCCTGAGAGGCCTCTCAGGTGCTCTTCAGATGGGTTCACCGCAGGCCCGGCACTACAGGGCCGGGCTGGGAACTGGCACAGGGTCAGAACCATTCAAGTTCTTAATAACAATGTCGTTTTTCTCAGTTTTCATAAAATATCTTTTGAAAATTTCAGCCTGCCTCATCTCTGCTGAGGGAAGAAGAGAATAGTATTTTTTTGTTTTCTGTTTTTTTCCAAATCTCACTCGCAGGGTCAGGGAAGTAGTGTGTTATTGGGGCCCACAGGGTGGCATCAATAAGAACGTACACAAGAGGGTTTGATCACTCAGGTCGGTGCTTTGCCCTCACCTCCAGCACATCGCTCACCCCAAGCCCATTGCCCTTCCAGTTGATGCCACCCCCACCTGGCGTGCACACACAGACCTCATATGTTTGTAGAGAGTCTAATTACTTAGTGACCTGAGTTGCTCTGGTTTCCCAACATTTTCCCCTGGAGTTCAAATCCCTGTGTTCCTCTGGTTCCCTAAAAGCAAGTGCAGCCTTGCCATCCTAGAATGTTCTTTTGCCTTCTAATTAGTTGTAACTGTTGCCTGTTTGTTGGGAATGGGAGTCTGGACAGGTGTTCTGAGGAATACAACTTAAAAGTAATGCTTTATGAGGAAAAAACCCAGTAGGATGAAAACCAGTTTGGAGGACTCCTTTTATACCAGGAGTTAAAGGTGCTAAGTAGGTCTGCACAGAAATACTTAGCATTAGCTTTTCCACTGCTGGCGGTGCCTGGAGGCCCATTATGCTCCTCCTCCCATTTGATCTGCATAGCTCCCTGGAAAAGAGCAAAAGCAGAGACCGTTTGTAGAAGCCCCCCACCAACCTCGGCCTCCCCTCCCTCTAGGACCTCTTCTCAGCCCTAATCAAGGGCCCCACTCGCACCCCCTATGAGGATGGCCTCTACCTATTTGACATCCAGCTCCCCAACATCTACCCGGCCGTGCCCCCCCACTTTTGCTACCTCTCTCAGTGCAGTGGGCGCCTGAACCCCAACCTGTATGACAACGGGAAGGTGTGTGTCAGCCTCCTGGGCACCTGGATTGGAAAGGTGAGTACGGTGCCAGCCTGTTGGAATGGGGAAGGAGCTAATCTGCCGCTGTCTGGACCGAGCTGATTGTGCTGTGTGTTCCAGGGGACAGAGAGGTGGACGAGCAAATCCAGCCTTCTCCAGGTGCTCATCTCCATCCAAGGTAGGTGGGCAGCGGGGTGAGGAGCAGCGGGAGGCTTGCTGATTCTAGCCGGCCTCTGGGGGTTGAGGGTAGGCCTGTCATGGGCTTCTCCCCATCAGGCCTAATCCTGGTGAACGAACCATACTACAACGAAGCCGGCTTTGACAGCGACCGGGGCCTGCAAGAGGGCTACGAGAACAGTCGCTGCTACAACGAGATGGCGCTGATCCGTGTGGTGCAGTCCATGGCCCAGTTGGTGCGGCGGCCCCCTGAGGTTTTTGAACAGGAGATCCGGCAGCACTTCAGTACTGGTGGCTGGCGGCTGGTGAAGCGCATCGAGTCCTGGCTAGAAACCCATGCCCTGCTGGAGAGGGCCCAGGTGCTGCCCAACGGGGTCCCCAAGGACAGCAGCTCTCCAGAGCCACCTGCCATGGCCGAGCTCTCAGACTGCAACCGAGAAGAACCTGAGGATGGAGGGCTCGGCCCTGGGGAGGCCTCCCAGGGCTCAGACTCAGAGGGTGGCACCCAGGGCCTGGCCTCAGCTAGCAGGGACCACACAGACCAGACTTCGGAGGCAGCACCTGATGCCTCGGTGCCACCCAGTGTCAAACCAAAGAAGCGGAGAAAGAGCTACCGGAGCTTCTTACCTGAGAAGAGTGGCTACCCCGACATTGGCTTCCCCCTCTTCCCACTTTCTAAGGGTTTCATCAAGAGCATCCGGGGTGTCCTCATGCAGTTCCGGGCCACTCTGATAGAGGCGGGCATGCCTGAGAGCACAGAGGGCAAGTAGCCGCCAGCCCCAGGAAGGAGCGTCGCAGTGGGGAGAGGCCAGCTGCTGCCTGCTACTCCCTCCCTTGGAATCTCCCCTCTTCCCATTTTCTCCTCTGTCCCCAGGGCAAACCGCCACCCCACCCCCACCCCCAACCTCTTTTTCCCAAGATGAGTTTGATGCTAAAGCGCAAGAAGTTTCTTGAGATGCTGCCGTTTCTATTTTGAAGCAATCTGTGGCAGGCGGGCCCCTATAGCAAAGAAAACCTGAATCCTCTTGCTGATTCTCCACTTGTTACCCCAGGCAGAATGACCTGGCACTTTCTTCCCTGTGTCTCCATCTCAGGTCACACATGGGGTTTCCCAAGGCCTAACACAGGGGCTCTCCAGGCCCAGGGCTGTGCTGGCCAGCCGCCAAGTGGGTGCACCTTGCATGAAGTGTGGGTTGCTCCAGCAGTTCCCCTGGTCCCTCTCAAGCCCCTCAGTTCCACCGCAGCCTCCCTGTGTCCTAGGCCCTCCCGCTGCCGCCACCAGGTCCTACAGCCCCAGCATCCGCATTCGCCCTTGGGAGTTAAAGCTGCCCTCACCGCTCCTGGCTGTACTCTGGCCGTTTACCACAGGATAGCCCTCAGTCCTGTTGAAACTTGCTCTCTAAGAGAGGTTGGGACCAGGCTGGGCTCGGGGTGCCACCAGGAGAGGTGGTGGCCCTCACATACCAACCTGGAATGAGGCCCAGGGAGCTGCCAGGAAAGGAGCAGCCACAGGTACCTTGCTCTTCCTGTCCCGGGTGGTGGGGGTCGGCAGTTCTGGCATTGAGGCCTTGCCTGCTTGGACCGAAGCCCATGCCTGCTCCCCACTCAGCCCCACCCAGGGCCTCAGGAGGCCGCAGCAGTGGCACAAACAAGGCCAGGCAAGTTCTGAGGCGTCTCCTGTAGGTATTGCCCCTAAAGTGCTACCGCTGGGCCATGGCTGTAGCTCACTGAACTCGGAGGAGCCAGCCCTCCAGTGAGAACAGGGCCTCCTGTCAGTCCTTCGCTTACAGACTGCAGGCTCAATCTGGGGGGAGCATGGGGGGAGAGGTGGCTGGCTGGGGTCCTCCCTCACAGGGACAGGCCCAGAGGTTTACAAAAGTTTTTCTAAGTTTTTGATAATGTGAAGTTCCAGGTTAAGAGGATGCTGTTGAGCACATTGCAGCTATGTAATTTTTGGTGTATGTATGTAATATTTAAAGTTGAAAGAAAATAATCTCAAGAGCAAAGATATAAACTCTTATTAGAAAAAAGACAAAAAAAGAAGCCAAAGCATGATGCGTCTTGTCCGCCTTAAGCTGGCTCCACACCTGTGCTGCACCGTGAAGCCCAGGGGACAGCAGCCGCGGGGAACGACAGGGCCGGACCTCAGCCGCAGCACTGGGAGCCCAGAGTGGTATCTTGTTTGAGAAACAAACATCTAGCACCTAGAGCGCCTGACGGGGCTGTGCTTCCCAGTGTGTTGTTCAGGTGGAGATGTGAATGCCTACTGCTTACGATATCTGTATAAAGTGCTGTGTGATTAAACTTTTTTTTTTACTTGCATTTTTTGTTTGTTTGGCTCATTACAATGTACAAAAAAGACAAGGTGGCACCATTAAACCTGCCTCTGCCATTCATTTGGGCTCCGTTGCCTTTCTTTCCTACTGGGGCACCTCACACACGCCCCTCCCAGGGGAAGGAAGGACCTGGTGCCAGAGAAGGCTCATGGTGTTGACTTCCCTTCCCTGCCCGCTGCCGTGCCTTCTGCCCTTCAGTCACCGGACTCATGGGGGCTGGGGATCAGGATCTAGAAGCTCAGCGAGTCAAGTGCTCTTGCCTTCGGGCAGGGCTGTTTGGCTCCGCAAGAGGCAGTTTTTAAGCACTCTGCTAGCAGCAGCTGAGGTCCCCGAGACCTGGTATTGACCAGTTCTGCCAGTTCTGCCTCAGATGCCAGGAGAGCTGACACTGCAGCACCTGGCCTGGGCTTTAAGCCAAAATGGTTACCCAGTGTGGGAGACTGGCACAGTCCTGCCTGCTGCTTCCTAATTTTAGCTCCTGCCCAAAACCCCTTCAATGACGACGGTGGTGTAGGGCAGAAGAAGCTGGAGAGCCCTGATCCCTCACTGGAGGGATAACAGACTACTTTTAACAAGGGAACAGCTGCCCCCCATTTTGATTTCCATTGCTCCTTGCCAGCTTCCCCAGTACCCCTAACTTAGACATTTTCTCTTCTCGCTGGCTGTGTGGGTAAGACACCAGCTCCAAGCTTGGCTTCCCATGTTGGGTGAGACAGTTGGCTGAGCTCCCTAGCTTCTTCCAGACCAGAGGTGGTATAACCACAGGGACAGAGCCTCCCAACCTGCAAAAGCAGCTTGGATCAGCTCTCCTGTGCCCACCACCAAAGTGACTGTTCCCAGGGGCCAGAATTGCCCAATGCAGGAAGCACAGTTGGCCATCACTGTTAAATTCTAGAGCCTTTATGGGAGCAAGACCCCACTCCACAACCCCTATGATATGACTGGTAGGCAGGGAATATCACTTTATTTGGATTTAATTCATGGGGTAGGGCTCCCAGAACAAAAGGGTAGTTTCTGCAGGCAGCTGGGCCCCTGGCCCAGGGCTTTGTCCTGGCCTTTGGTGGAGAGAGCTTGTCCTTCCAAAGCACACCCTCCACCTTCCTGCTGGAGTCCTCCTCCAGCCCCCCAGTGTGAGCTGAGGAGGGTCCTCCAATCCTGGAGGAAAGAGGGAGGGTCCTGAGCTCAGAGTAGACCAAATACACAGACTAAGGCACAGTAAGGCCCACATAAGTCAGAAGGGCTCTTTGGGAAGTGGCGTCTGCTGAGGCTTCCAGCCAGGTGGAGTCTGTGGCTCCTGAGAAGGTGGGGACTCCACACAGCCACTGGCCATCCAGATGTAGTTTGGGTGCACCTGGCCCTGCACAGCCTCAGTGACCATCAACTCCCCGTCCACAGCAAACACGCCATTCCCATCCTTGGGCTGCAGGCGGAAGGCAGCCACAGGCTCATACACCAAGTAGGGACAGTTACACTCCATGTGCCTCCCCTTCTCCATGGCCAGGAAGAGGCGCAGCAGCATGGCCCGGGACACACCTGCCCGCACGTAGAACAGATGCATCGTGCCAGCAGCACAGCGGCCCATGGGCGCAGCAAACATCTCACTAGCCAGGTGTGAGTGCAGCAGAGCCAGCACCAGCACAAAGTTCTGCTCAGACACCATGGTCCAGTGAGAGGGCACTGGCTCCTCCAGGGGCACGAGGTAGGTGTCCACAGGGCCTTGCTGGTCCAGAGCAGGTGAGCTGGGCATCTTGGAGACCACCCTTTCTATGGGGAGGTAGGCTAGTTGGCCCTGATAGATGCGCAGGGCTGCCAGGCGTAGGAGGGTACCCACAGTAAAGCGCATCTCCCCCAGGCGCCGAAACTTCTCGCTGTCCAGATCTACATCAGCAATGAAGCCCCATGCCAGGCTGAGCATGGAGAAGAGGCGCTGCCCCGAGGCCATCTGCAATGACAGCAAGTTCACAGGCGCCAGCGACCGGCGGCACAAGAGCAGTGTGCAGTTGGTCAAGAGGTCTTTATCAGTCACCTGCTCATAGCTGCAAGGGAAAAGTTTCAATGGGCAGGGCACCCTCCCCTTCCTCCTCCTGGGGAGCTGGGGAGGCAGAGTGACACTGGGTTCCTGGGGTAGTTGGCAGGAATGACAGATGGAGCAGGTGGCGGCAGGCAGCTATAATCACCAAGACTGCCCCGAAACTGAGGTTGGAGGCCCCAGAGAAGAGGGAGTGGAAGTCACCCAAACATATGGGGATTTAAAAAGAGAATCTGGCACAAGAGTGGCACTGAACCGAAGGCCGGGGGTGGTGGTGGTGGTGGTCGGGGGTGGGGTGCCTCCCAGGCTGAGGCCTTGGTGCTCTCACCCGGCATAATGATTCAGAGAAGCTGCCAACGCATTGCCAGAGCCAGCTGGGAGGCTACACAGGGGCTTCCTGATGGCAGTCTCCCAGTCAGGCCGCTCCATTAACCCGTTCACCACCTGTTGGAGCACCATGGCCTCAGCCTGGGAGGCACCCCACCCCCGACCACCACCACCACCACCCCCGGCCTTCGGTTCAGGCCTCACCTCGTACATCAGCCCGTCTCCGGACATGACCACCAGTGCGTCCCAGCGACTCAGTTCCTCCGCCCGAACCAGCTCCCGGGCATGGTTTTGCCGCTCTGCAGAAAGGTGGCTGTAAGAGCTCAGGGTCCCTGGCCAGGAGAGTTACTGGCACCGAGAGGGAGGCACTCACCAGTGAGCGTCAGTTTGAAGGAGACTTCGGCCTGGGCCAGCAGGGGCTGCACATGGCTCCAGAAGAGCTGCAGGGCTTTGCCCTTGCCCCCGCGCGGGTTCAAAAGCACCAGCACGCGGCAGGGCCGTGGGAGCCTGTTCGGGGGTCCGCCCGCTGTTAAAACAAACCCGAAAAGGCCGCGTCCCCAACCGGCCACTAGGGGGCTGAGAATCACAATAGGGGCACTGGGGTGGATACGTGGTGCCTGAATCTCCGGGGAATTGATCCAGTAGATCCTGGCCAGAAGTAGTGGCCTCCAGAGGGGAGCTCAGAGGGGAGCTCCAGTGGGGTACACCAAGCCCTCGACACCCGGGTTCTTGGCTCAGGGCGGGCCAGCTTCTGGACTAGGGGAAAGTTTCTCTTAAGTGTCTACAACTCTTTCGCCCTGCGGACCCTGGCCATCCTTCCTGGCCAGGGAAAGAAAATTCCCCATATAGCCTTCCCCGCCGTGTCCCCACAAACCTGGATCCATAACCTCGACCTGAGGCACCCGCTGCCCGGGGGTCCCCAGCGATGTCGGGGCGCTGCCCGCTGCGGTGGCTCCTGCCTTTAGCTCCTTATCGGTGCTGCGCAGGCGGGAGTCCCGGTGCCGGCTGTGGGGCTCGGCCTCCCCGCCCGGAGCCGGGGCTGTCGAGGCAGCAGCGTCATTCCCCGCGGCTGCCCCATCTTGGGGAAAGGAGACAGCGCTGGCGGCGTCCGACGAAGCTCCCTGAGGCGGGGGGCACCCAGCTAGATCCTTGGGCCACGCGCGGGAAGCCGCGCGCTTGGGCATCGCCTAGTTTTTCGGGATACAGAGAGTCAAGGTCCGGGGGCCACCAAGGGCGCTCCCGTCCAAGAACCGAGTGCCCCTCCCGCCAGGGGCCAGAAGTTTCTTCCTGGGGCCTTTCCTCTCTGCGGCCCCGGTTCCAGCCCGAAGATGAGTCAGAGCCCCGTGGCTGTCTCCGGCGGACCAGCTCCTCACCCACAGGGGGCTGCCTGGGGCAGGGGAGTCCAGTTGTCTGAAAACTCTAGAACTTGAGCGGACTTCTCAGGACACGAAGTTTGGAGCGAGCGGTCGCCGCCTGGAGTCAGCCGGTCGCCGGGTCCGCCCCTCGGAGCTCCCGAGCGGCCGTTGGGCGCGGAGGCCGCGTGGTGCGGGGCCAGTTTCCCGGGCCGCCCGGGAGCCACAAGCGGAGAGCGGGGAAGGCGGGAGACCCTACCCGGTCGGCCCGGTTTGCTGGGAGGCGCCACCTCCGTTCCCTGCAGAGGGAGCCCGAGCCCGAGCGACAGCGGGCGCGCTGGGCGAACGCGGACCGCGTGGCCTCGCGGCCTCCGGCCTCAAACTTTTCGCTCAACCTCGCTGCCAGGGTGCCTCTGCGCGCGGCCTGGCCACACCCCGCGCTCCCCGCGCTCGCTGGAGTGGAAGCGGCGCCCGGAGCGGCCCCCGCTCGCCTGCCCCCGGCCTCATCTCGCCGCCTCTCGCACGGTCAGTGCCCACGGCGCGGCCACTGCCCCCGCCGCTCGGAGTAGGCGACTGGCAATAAGGCGGCACCGCGGCCGGTCGGAAAGAGAGGTAGAGGCGCTGGCCGGGTGCTGAGCACCAAGCCCGGCCAAGAGCTGCGCTCCGCAAGCTCAGCGTCTCCCGCGCACGCCCAGAGCGAACTCGCCTCTGCGCCCACAATCGCAGCGCCCCGGGGGCGGCGCGGAGCCCGCGCGGTTCAGCGCAAAGGGCAGACGCGCAGGTGCCCGAGGACACTGCGATCTTCCGCCCCGGGGTCTTCCCGCCGGAGCGCCCGTGCCGCCCGCGGCGGGCATCAGGGCCCTCTTCGCGGGCGCCGCCCCAGTTCCCCGGAATGAGATGCACAGGGCGCCCTGCTCCGTGCCGGGGCGTCTCTCCTTTCGCCCTGTTCTTCCCGGAGGATTAGTTTTAGCTTCCCGGAGCCGCAGCTCCGCCGCGCAGCCACCCAGGCCGAGGCTGCCGGACGCGCTGTCGCGGGGAGGGCGGGCGACCGGCCCGAGGGGCTGAGGTCCGGAGGAGGGGGCCTGTCCAAGAACCTCAAAAGTTGGGTCCTGTCCCTAGAGGACACCATCGAGGCTCACCTGGGCAAGAGAAGCTGTCCCGCAGCCGGCGATCCAGGCCGACGCCCCTCACTCACCGGAGAGAAGCCGAGAGAGAAAAACCGGACTAGTGGTTCCCATCGCGGCTATAGCATCGGGACGTGTCCCTCGCGCCCCTTCTCCCGGGCTCGGCGGGAAGATGCAAACGCGTCCCGGAGTTTTCACTTCAACGGAGGCCAACAGGGACGCGTGTGTCAATGTGTGCGTGATATACATGTCACGGGCAAGTGTCTGACCTGACCGTGTCCGCGACCAACTCGAGTTAAGTCCCTGGGGGGTTGTTTGCCGAAACCCAGAGGAGGAAGGTGCCAAAGCTGACCTGATGACCTGGCCAGGTAGGGCCAAAGTTGGAAGAAACTAAACCCCTGAGATGGCCCAGGCCCAGGTCGCAGAGAGCTCCGGCGCCCCACCTACAGCCGTACGACCCCACACACCTGTCTTCTTACCGCCCCCTAAAAGTCAGGAAGAGGCAGGTCCGGGTGGCGCCCGTAACACAGGCGCGCCTTCGCGCTATCTTCTCTTCCGGAGGACCCAGGCGGCTCGACCTTGTTCCCCAATACCCGAGGGTCCCGGGTCCGGGGAGGCGCCCGCAGGGACGCGCGGGGCCCCGGGCCGGCTCGGCCGCGTGGAAGTGCAGTGCGCCTGCGCCCTGCGCGGCCCCGGGCAGCCCCGGCTGTGCAGAGCGTCCCGAACGCGTTCCGGGAAGGTGACTCAGCGACGCGCGCCAAGAAGCTAGGAATGAGGAGAGGGAGCTGGGGCGTCTGCGGTGCGCATCCGCGGAGGTCGGGTCTTGAAACCCCGGGACCCCACCCCCACCCCCACCCCCAGGAATACGGCGTGGCGAGGGGAGGGCGGTGCTGCAGCCGCAGTGCCGCTGTCACGCGGTTGGGACGCGGGCGGCGGCGGGAGGAGGGGGCCTAGTGCGGGTGCCTGGGGCCAGACCGCCCTCCTCTCCGGCGAACCTGGGTATTGGCGCCTCGAGACGCGGGAAGCGGGCGGTGCTCCCGGAGATCGCAGCCTCGAAGGGGGTGGCTGCGGAGGCGCTCGGGACGGCACTTACACCAGACCTGAAAAGCCGCCCTAAACTTTGGAGTCTGGTGGGAAACAGGCTTACGAGGAAGGGAAGACCTGGCTGTGGCGGGGTCCGTGGTGAGAAAGCCCGCCAGGCCGGAGCCCCGGAGTCGCGGGGCCGGGCGGGGGCGCGGTGGATTAGCAAGCCAGCGGGCAAGGGGAGGCGGGGCAGGCTGGTGGGGTCGTTATCCGGCCTCGGGGCCCTGCTCCCCTGCGAGCGCGGTGGGAGGGAGGAGAAGGGCAAAGCCCTCTGGCCCCCGTTCCAGTCCGCACAGTGGCTGCTCTGTCCTCCCTGCCGCCTCCCCCAGGTCCCCCTCACCTACTCGGGCTCCCGCTCTGCGCCTCATTCTCGCCATTCACCTCCCCGTTACCAGGCTGCCTCTCTCCAGGCCCACACCGCCCTCCAACCCCTGTCAAAGGAGCTGTTACTCGCCTCCAGAAACTCACCCATCAGCATCCCTAGCCCAAGACGTATCACTGGGCAAGAGCAAGATGCTTTCCCCCCTTTGACAGCGAGGGAACCAAACCCTGAGAGGTGAAGAGTGTCGCCCCAGCTGCCAGAGCAGCTCCCAGCGGAGCTGAGAAGTGGACCAGGAGCCTGAACCCCCAGCCTGGAAGGCGAGCCTCCCCAGGCTTCTGGCTGATACTTGAGTGTTTGTTGGCCTGGCAGGGTGCTGGCCACAGAGCTGCCCCAGTAACCCAGGTGCTTAGAGTCTCCTGGACAAAGAGGAAGCATCTTGAAGCCTCTCCAGGCTTCCTCCCCTGGGTCCTGATTAAGCAACAGCACTGTACCCAGCAGGGCCCACCATGGGCTTGGCATCAGGCTTCATCTGACCTGATCGCCAACCCAGAGCTCTGCTGAGAGGTAATACCTGTCTCACAGGTGAACAGACTGCCTTTCCATCTCCCCCAGCTACCCCCCCTTCCTCCTCGTGGGCAGCATCCCTGGGAAAACATACCCGAGAACCCTTTTTTTTCCTCAGAGTAAGAAAGCAGGCATTCACCAGACCAGGCCCCACATGTCTGGAAACTTGGAGCCAAGGCCACCTGATGGCAGTGACTGCTTTCATTGGGAGCGGATTCCTGCCATCTCACCCTGCCCTAAACACCACCCCCTCTGGGAGGGTTGAGGGCCAAGTTGAATCTCAGGGCCTCAAAGCCTCCGTTGACCTCAAATCCCTTCTGCCTGGGAGCCTTGCAAGGGCAGGGAAAGGGGTGTCCAGCTCTGCAAACTCTTTCGTTCTAGGACAGCGGCAGGTGTAGCTTTCTGTTCTGAGAGTTTCCTAGATGCTGGTGACTGTGCCAGTCACGGGCGTGGCAGGGAGGAGTGCGCCACATGTGGAGAGCCAGGAGGGCAGACTGGTCATGCAGGATCCTGGCTGCTGCAGAGCTCCAAGTATCTGTTTCTGTGGAGGTTCAGCTACTCGGGCTGTGTGTGGGGGTGAGGTACCCTTTGGGTAGCCTCCTTGTCCTGGTGGGTTTCCTTCCAGAAGCTGGGAATCCAGGTCTCTTCTGGGCCTCTGGATTCTGCCTCCCACACACCCTCACCTGCAGGCCTGCTGATCTCGGCTACTTTACAGGGTAGTTCGCTTCCAGAGTCCTCTCATTGTGGCATCCCTACAGGCCACGCCCACTCAATTCATTTCAGCTGCCCACCCAGCATCTGAAAACAGTTGTTTTCATTTCCTGGGGTCATCATAGCAAGGTGCCACAGCCTGGATGGCTTAACAAAAATTCACTATTCACCGTTTTAGAGGCCAGAAATCCCAGATCCATATGTCAGCAGGGTCCATTCCTTCTGAGGCTGTGAGAGTCTGTCCCAGACCTCTCTGCCAGCTCCTGGTGGCAAACTTGGTGTTCCCTGACTTGTAGATGCATCAGCCGGTCTCTGCCTTCATCTCCCTATGAAAGATTTGGCTGAGTGAGATTTGGTCTTTAGGATATGCATTATCTTCTGTGGGCACACACATTCTTTTTCAAATGTAAATTACTCTGAAAGAGAAAACCAATTAATTATTAGGACTCTAGTGTGAATTCAGCTATCACATTTTTTAATTTAAAAAATATAACAATACCAGGTGTCTTGAAAGAGGGAATTAGTGCATGTTCATGGGGGGTTGGAGGAATGATGTGTCTGGAAGTCGGACCTACCCACCTCCCTGCGTTTTCAGGGTGTGATCGGTTGGGAGGAGTTGTGTATCAGGGGAGGACAGATTTCCTCGCCCAGGCTTGCACATCACCTCGGCCCCTGGACTTCCAGGTCTTACCTTCCACCTTGATTGATAGCATCTGTGGCTTTCTGAGTTGATGGGTTTGTTCCCCAGACCTTGGAAGAACAAAACCAAGTTTTGTGTTGAGGTATTAGGTTCTGACTGCAGCACAACTGTATGAATCGTAAAGTTCTGGAGGTCAGAGGTTTGGGGCAGCTCACGGGACTGTGGCCTGGCTACCTCTAGAACCCATTTCTTCACTTCCAAAGCCAGCAGCGTAGCTGCCAGACTGTCTGACTGCCTCTTCTGTCGTCACATCTCCTTGGACTCTGCCCTTCCCCCCTCCCTCCTGCTTCTGGGACCCTGTAATTCCACTAGCCCTACCCAGACAACCCAGGATAATCTCCCCATTTAAGAGCCTTCCTTCACTGATCGAATGTGGGAAGTCTCTTTTGTTGGGTAACGTAACATATTCAAAGGATCCAGGGATTATGCTTGGACATCCGGGGGCCGTTATTCCACCAACCACAGATGAGTAGGGAAAGTCTGGGGTCTGTGTCTGTACTTGACACAGAACCTTCTTTTTGATGTTCCTCACCTCCAGCACTGCCAAGTGAACACAAACCAGGAACTTGCTTTGCCCCAAATATGCATTTGTTGTGCGGGGCTGAAAACACTCTTGCTGGCATTGGTACATGATTCTATAGACTTCATGATCTTTGACTCATCTGGCAGAGGCCCCTACAAAAACTGGTTTCCATTTTTAAAATTACCCAAGAGAGTAAATTGGCATCTTTGCTCAACATAGTAACTACAGGGATTGCAAAGTCCAAATTTTCCACCTGAGGAAGGGGTGGGAGCCAGAGCAGCTCATCCATTTTTGGTCTGGCACAATTTGCCAATGGGCTCGCAGGAAGGGCTTGCCGCAGGGCGTTGGCCCCTTGGGTACCAAACGGAAGTGTGTGGTACTGCGCTCCTGCCATGTGACCTGACAGTCCAGCTTCTCTGCTGTTCTGTGGCAAGGCTGGATCAGACCACGCACCCGTGAAGTGTGGCTGGGAACATTCCACAGGCTCCTGCTGACATCAGCTCCAGTTTGGACCTAAAGCAGGCTCTGCCCTGGTCTCCAGTGCCCACCCTGCATCCTGGATACTTGTAAGGGGAGAAATTGTCCCTTCTGAGGCTGCGGCCAGTTCCCTACCCCACCCACCCACACTTGCTCCTTTATACTGGTCTGGAGATCTCTGGCAACTGGTGAAAGCTCTCATCCAAGGGAAGAGAAGCCAGCAGCCATATGTCAAACTGCCTTAGGCAATTCCCAAGAGGAAACATATTCAAAGGATCCAGGGATTATGCTTGGACATCCGGGGGCCGTTATTCCACCAACCACAGATGAGTAGGGAAAGTCTGGGGTCTGTGTCTGTACTTGACACAGAACCTTCTTTTTGATGTTCCTCACCTCCAGCACTGCCAAGTGAACACAAACCAGGAACTTGCTTTGCCCCAAATATGCATTTGTTGTGCGGGGCTGAAAACTTCTGGAAATCAAGAAGAGGTGCCTGGCACCTCTGCAATCAGGAGCAGGAAAGCGGAGCAGTCCAGCAGGCAGCCTAAGGGGATGGGTGTGTACACAGTTTTCCGGGGGCTTTTTGTTGTGCAATGTTTTCCACTTTCACATCTCTCAAAAGCTGTGTCCTTGGGTTGTTCCCAAAGCAAACAGACAGTGGGCTGGGCATAGCCCTGGGCTGGTCCTGCATTTGCACTAACGGTCTGGGACTGTTTCCTCCACCTGAGAGTCGTCCCAGAGAGAAGCACACACTTCCTCTGAGAACACCCGTTCCAGGCACCTACTGGCCCCTGGTGGCCACCCAGAGGAAGCATCCCTCTCTTCTATCCATGCACCTCAGACTTCCTCCAAAGAAGCCAACTGAGGGTGGGGCGGGGGTGCCCTGGGGGCCAAAGTAGGGCGCCTGCGTCCTACTACCGCCAAGCTGCCAAAGACAGGGAGCCTGAAAGCAGGGCTCGCCTATCCCAGACGCTCATATCCACATCCTGAAAATAGAAATCCCCCTTGCTTCCTGAAGGTCAAATGCTTTGATTCCTGGTAATTTAAGTAATGATTATACAGGATGGGCTGGACACCCGGGGCGAGGAGGGGGGCTGGGGGCAAGGGACACTGTGACCTAATTCTGCACTTGTGCCCCCAAGCCTTTGTGGATTTAAGGGAGCAGAGCTGTGCCGATCCGACGGGCTAGCCTTTTCCAAAAGCAGGCTCCCTGGGCTCTCTGCTCGCTGCTCGGAGTCCTGGCCGCAGCAACGGGCCTAGCATCTTGAGAATGGTGAGATGTCATTTCTCGTTCAAGACACCATCAGATGATCCTAGCAGCCTTCTCTGCAGCTCGCCATTTCAAAACAGAATGGGAAACCAAGTGATTACCTGGCAAAGCTTACAGACTAATTAGTGAAATGATGTTTTTAAAACAAACAAAAAATGGAATGGGCCTGGAGGGTGCTCCTGAGCAGCAAGGAGCTTATAGATGGTGGCTGCACAACATTTCTTTTCTCCTTTTGTCTCCTTCCTAGAACCACAGTTATCTTGATTCTGTACACAGAAGAGCTCAATCAATGCTTGTGGGCTGACCTCTCCCAACTGCATCCCTCCCACCAGCACAGCAGAGCACCCAGGGGAGGGGGCCGCATCTGGGCATCAGGTGGCCTCTGGGGTGATACAGAGAGCCCAGGAAGCACAGGGTTCCAGCACCCCACCTGCGCCTGGCTCAGCACAGCAGACTGGTGGGGGGCCCCAGAGGGTGGGACACACAGTTTCTGATGCAGTTAAAACTTCACATCAGTCTTTCTGATGCGACGAGGCCTAGAAAACTCCGTAGCATCCAAACTTGGCATTGCAAACAAGCACAAAGATCCCGCCATTTTAGGCAGTGTTCCAGTTGCCGTGTGACAAGTATCTGTGACGACTTGATTCTCAGACTGAGAACTTTGAGCACTTACGGAGGGAAAGATAACTGCAAACTATGATGAGCAGGGGATCAGGTCTCCTTCAGCTCTTGACAGGCCAGTGTTATTCCTAAGGGGAGAGGCCTGTTGAGTCCTTGGGGAGTGGATCTGTTACCCCGATTTGCAGCCTTTAGCCATGTGGAAGCCGTACTGGCTTTGGAAAGGCTGAATGGGAGCCGAACCCACAGCAAACCCCAGGACACCCAGGGCCAGATCTCTGAGGTCTCAGGCATTTCTGAAATGCTGACAGAAGCAGCAGGAGTCTAATTCTAATTCTAAAGCAGGATCTGCATGATGTGAGTGTTCAGCAAAGACCAGCAGGTCAACCGTGAAAAAATGGTGCTACTAGATGTGGAAAAGAAAGCTAGGATTACCCACCAGCCCTTGAGAAAAGTATTTTTTAAAAACAGAAAGGCGGCAAGTTTCCTCAAAAAGTGGAACATGACCCAGCACCTCCACACCTAGGGATATACCCAAGAGAAATGAAAACACGTCCACACAACAACTTGTACATGAGTATTCATAGCAGCTTTATTCACAATGAACCAAAGGTGGAAGCAACCCAAATGTCCGACAATGGATAAACAGGTAAACAACATGCAGGG